TCAATTCTCATTAGAAAGCTACACTAGCAATCAATGAACAGCGTTCCTGTGATGCTGGACTTTCCTGCTCATGTGCAACATTAGGCCTAATGCCAAGAAGAAACTGCTGATATTCTGGTTTTGCTGCAATACATTTGCAGGGATAGTTCTATGCATGTTTCATATAGCCTGCTTCATGTAAGTAGTCCTTAGACAGCCACCGTCCTCACCCTCTGCTTTTATTTGCTGAGGCGGAAGAAAAGACAACGCACCACATCCTGCAATTTCCTCTTCTGCTAATTCATGCATGTTAAATGGATGCATTTCTTCTGAACTCAGGTAACACACAGGACAGTTGCCACAAGCTGCTGACTTGAACAATGGGGTGGAAGAAAACATGGTCCCCAGGGAAGGTTTGGCTCAATTGGCTCAATTCCATAGCATGACCTTTCCATGAACAAGGATATGAATATATAAAGCCACATACATCAGCTGCTCATCCGCATGAAAACCAATGGTTTTTTTTGCACCTGATATCTATGTAAGCATGTGTCTCATTTCAGCCGGCTTAATCGCTGGGGAGGGGAAGGGAAGGTTACATTCAAAGAAAAGCATAGCCATCTGATTGCAAATTAGACAATATTTCAACAGATCATGATTCTTAGCAGGATTTAATAATTACAGAAATGCGGTCAAGACTTTCGTTCAAATGAACTGAATGATCATTTCTATATCTAATGAGCTACAATACAAAGATCTCATATATGCTGGTCGTATCTGTTCTTCAATCTGTTTTTGCTAAGAGATTTGATGGGGGTGGAAGTCCTCTGAGGTGAACTCAGATTTCAGTATGGCAAAATCTACAGTCCTGTGAAAAAGCATTAACACGCTTTCAGATTTTGGGGAATATTTGTATGCCTTTGTCCCCAATTCAAGAACTTCCAAAAGAGGGCAAAATCTTTTTCTTAAAATTGTCTATTATGTTGTGACCAAATTCCCAAGTATTGGTTTGCCATGTTATTGCTTTTAATATATAGAGCTGCATATTAGCACAAATATCGTACGTACTGTAGTATTTTTCTGAATATATTAAAAGGACATATTTTCTTATTAAAAAGAAACCTTAGTTTATTTATTTTCTATCTCAGAATGTTGGTAAATAATACATTGTCCATTATAGCAATCCAGTATTATGAAATCAATACCAAAAAATAATACTAGTTAAGTTCAAATCACAAATAATGTTTGTAATGTACAGACTACGTATGAACTATGCCCTATGATCTTAAACTGTCTTTTGCTTATTGTTAAAAGGAAATAGTATCCTGAATGTGTCATTATACTACAGGTATCTCCCAGCTGTGGGATGTAGGCAGTAGTATGTTGCCTTGAAAAGCAGACTTCAGAATAGAGAGCCTAGTTGGAACAGAACAGTGTAAAACTGGGTTTAGGGTGCACTTGTGGCATACTGCCGAAATATGCCCAAACTGACTAGTATTATATTTTTATCTTTACAGGGCATGCTGCATGTGGGAACAGCTGGTAATCTAATCTGCTTTTTATCTCACTAAAAAGCATTATGTGAAACCTTGATTAACTAAAGCCACAATGGCCAGTGCAAGGTTAGTGTTCACATGTCATTTGTTGATGTCAATGGCATATGGAAGAATATGTCTAAGAGGAGTATATGGTAAAGAGCATGAATTAATGAATGAAATGATGTTTTTAAAAATAGATATGGTATGCATTTGTGAAACTGAGAGAAAGGGAAAAGAATGGAATCCATCTGAATGAACATGGTCTGATCTTGTCGAGTGAACTTGGTGAGTACATGCATGGAAGTTTAATACTGAATGAAAAGACTAAAATGTCTATCAGAAAGTATGAATTGGTAATTGTTGTGGGTGCTCACGAATGCATTCTTACTTCATAGGTTAGTCATAGCTATATGTTACTCTCCAGCAGATGGTGCTAATGAAAGAACTAGGATGCGTTTTGGGAAAATGTGTGCAATATTTGGAATGAATGCAATCTGGAAGAAGTTGTTATTCTTTTAGCTGACATGAATAGATGACTAGGTGGAAATGAGATGAGAGAGTACAGAAAAAGTGATTAGGCCCTTCAGAGACCCAAGATTGGTGAATGTTTACTTAGAAGTTTGTTTCAAATACATGGCTTAAGCATAAGTCTGTTCATGTCTCTGTAAGCATTTTTTACTTTATTGTTTGTAATGAAATGTTTAGAAAATTATTGAGAATATTAGAGGTTCTGAATGTGAGACAGATATTATTTAGTAGCATCAAGAGTGGATCATGGGAAAAACAGACGTGGAAGAAAAGGAAAGAAGTGAAAGCAAAAAGAGTGGATGTAGAATGATCACAGGAAGAGCATATGCATCCTATATGAAACAATATTAGAAGATACAATCCTCTCCCTCAAAGATAAATAAAAATATAGAAAGATTATGTGAAAACTGCTTGGAACAGAGTAAAAAAATTATGTTACAGAGTGCCACAAAAGTGTGTAGGTTATGCTAATGGGAAGTATTCCTGGGTGGAATGATAGAATAAAAGAGCCTGTGAATGACAAAAAAGAATGGATATAAGAGAACTGCATCCCAAAATGGGGATGAAAGATAGTATTTACTGTGTTTAGGCAGAAAACGTTAACTGCAAATCCTCAAGATCTTAATGGAGAATAAATGTTAAAATAAATGTTGCTTCAAGGTTAATGCATATTCTTGGAAGATTCATATGTTAATCCCTATAAACAAACAAGATACTGAGAAAAATTTTAAAGGATAGTCAGATGGATTTGGAATATGTTGGGGAAAAAATTAAATTTTACCTAAATTGTCATGAGAATCTGATTTTATAGAATAACCCAGTTCTTAAGATTTTGGCAAATAATTTTTTCAGGAGTTCATGGGCAAACAAGCATCATTTTATACCAACTTATTGCTAATCAGTTTTCTAAAATATCTGAAAAAACAATTTGGATTACCTAAGACCATTAAAACATCCCTTGATTGTGCATTTTGGGTCTTATGGACCTTTTATAAACTGGAAATAAAAACTGTTTTGGAAGTAGGTAAAAAGGGCTAAACAAGCAGCCTCCAGCAGGTTAAACAGAATTAAAATAATACTGCTGAAATAATTTAGGGCGGAACTGCAGTAAGGGAATGCTGGAATGAATAATTAGAGATTTTGTATAGAAATGACAGTGATATAACAAAAATTGGAACTAAAATTAATGCCTATAGATGTCAATGTCCAAGACAAAGAAATGAAGAAAATAAATTTACAAAAATTGTGAAAATGTTGAAAAATGATAAGGCTGAAAATGCTAGTAGTAATGAAGATGTTGTGGTAAATGAAAGTCAGTCAAGAGTGATTAAAAAATGAGCAAAATATAAAATAATAATTGAATAAAAAGTGAATGAAAGAGGTATGAACTATTTTGATATGTTTTTGTAATTTAGCAAAAATGAATAAGGATCAACTCACAAAACAAATACAGTGGTACCTCGGTTCACGAACGCTTCTGTTCATGACCAATTCGGGTCACGAACAA